GGCCCCTTGGCTTCTTCTTCGGCCGGCGGCAGCTTTTTCCGGACGCTTTTCCCGGCCGCTTTTTCCGGCGGCCTTTTCCGGCGGCCTCTTCCAGCCTTCGGCGGCGGGTGCCAACCGCCGCCGGCGTTTTCCCGCGCTGCTTTCGGGGCGGGCGCCAAGGGCCTCGCCGCTTGCTATGGCTCCGCAGCCCCTACGCCCGTCTGCACGCCATCTGCGCCGAGAGACGCGACGGCCGCCTCACGCGTCCGCCGCACGGCTGTGAACGGCGTCTCTTCACACACGGCGCTTGTGAACAGGCGCGGGCCGCCCTCGCTTCCGCCGCGCACGCCCTCGGATCCAGCGGCGACTGTTGGGCCTCGCCGCAGCTGTCGACGCACCGCCGCCAATAGACATTGTTTGAAGGAGTAGTACAGGTGAAACTTCTTTCCCAAGGAGGTGGCGGGGCATATGTTTCTTGCATGGCTTCTCATACGTTCTCATGAAAAGCTCACAATCGCGGAAGCTGGGGTTAGCAGCCTGCATGTGGGTCTCTGGGCTGGCGCTGGGACCCCTCTGTGCGCGGCTGAGGGTGAGGCCGCCTCGCTGGTGTCGGGTGTCGCGCTCGGTGCGACTGGTGTGTCGGCGACTGCTGCGAGAGAGAGGCCGTGCTTCTTTCCAACCAACCTAGTTGCGTTTTGCTGCTTCTGGCTTCTGCTTGGCGCGTCTGCCCCGCATGCGCATCCTCCTATCCACAACGCGTCCGCGCCAGAGTGCGAGCCGTCCCTGGCGTGGCGCCTCCGCCCGGCATCCCGCCCCCCCGGACCCCAACGTAGTTACCTTCTAGCTAGCGTTGAGCACGTCGGCCAGCTGTGCCAGCGCGACGTGTCCGTAGATGAGTGAGTCGAGCCGTGTCGCGAGGTGGGACGCCTGCTGCGTGGCGCTCAGGAGGAGAGCGGAGCCAGCCGCAAACACGTCCTCGTCAACGCCGCTGGCCGGGTCCATGGCAAGCACTGCGAGCGCCACAAAGGCGATACCAAAGCTGGCGAATTGGACCGCCGCGACATGGTCTAAATACACCATCGACATGAACTTGTCGTGGAAGGCGCGCCTCCGAAAGACAAACGCAGCCTTGGCGTACGTGTCAACCATCGCGTCAACATCAGCCTCCTTGCCATCGCTGGTGCGCATGACGGCGGCGGCCTGCTCTGCCGCGAGGGAGCCGTAGCGAAGGTTCCACATCGCCTTGAGGTGTGCGAGCTCCTGCCTGGGCGCCTTGTGAAGGAAGAAGACTACACACACCAAGAGCCACGCCAGAAGCGCGCTCCCCACGTACAGGCAGGGTACGGCGAGGCCAAAGTTGTGTCGCGTGACGACGCCCGCGCATACACTGGCGAGGAGGCTGCCCGCAAGCCGCGGGATCTCAAACACGAATCCCCAGACCGAGTTGACGGCGATTGCCGTCAGTGGGTCAAGCAGCTGTGCGGATGTGCCCGGCGTCAGCCTGGCGGCTGTATTCTTGACGGAGCGGCTCCGACGGTCGGGATCAACCTCGGCGTGCAGACGGAGTAGGCGACGCTGGAGTGCGTGTCGCATGTGGAACCTCACGCCGGATAAAGGCACCTCGAGTTGGAACTGGTACTCTAAGCGCTTCGCTGCCGCACCCGTCAGAAGGACTGCAATGCAAAGGGTGGCAAAGGTCCTTCTCGCTCCGTGTAGGCTCGCTGTGCCACTGAGTGCGCCTTCGCTGGCGGTTTGGACGTGCAGAATGGTGATGGAGAGAAGGGTTGACGTGGCGACAGGAAGGGCGCCAAGCATGAATGAGTACCAGAGGCACCGAGGCGTTTTTCCGGCGCAAGGAAGGTTATAGATGAAGGCACAAAAGGCGCCGCACAAGCGGAAGAAGCCGCCGTCCGGACTCACGCCTCGCGGCCACGGCATGTCGCCGAGCCACTCCGTCTCGTCGGGCAGCGGAGGCGGGTGCTGCTCATCACAACGTTGATACCCCCACAGCTTGTGGCGCACAAGTTGGTACCATCTCAGCTCCATCCTCTGCTCTCGCTGAAGTGCCGCCTCGAGGGATGCTTCTATCTGCCGCCTGCGCCCTTCGACAAGCCCGGCCGACTCGACTCTGTCTGAAAAATGCGGCTCGGAGAGGCCTCGTCGAGCTGGACTCTCCCTCTCCCTCCCCCTCTCTTCCTCTCTCGCGTGCGCGACTCTGCCTCCTCGGTGCGCACGAGCTCGAGCAAGTTGCGAAGCACCTGGCGAGATAGCAGAGGGCGATGGCATGCCAGTTGCGGAGTGTGGGGCGGACAGCACAGACAGATAGCAGAGGGCGATGGCATGCCAGTTGCGGAGTGTGGGGCGGACAGCACAGACAGATAGCAGTGGCGGTCCGGGTCACACCTCTTGCGCGTCCTGCTGCGCCCGCCCCGAGTACCGCTTGTGCTTGCGCGACACCGCCTGAAGCACCTGGGGGCCGGCAGGGAAGGGGGGCGGTGGGAGAGTGGTGGTGAGGGCAGTGATGGCGAGCGGGGTGGAGTGGTGAGGGGGCGCGTGGCGGTGGTGAGTGAGCGGTGGTGAGGGGAGCGGCGGGAGCAGGGGCAGCGAGAGAGGCGAGAGGCAGCGAGAGAGGCGAGAGGCAGCGAGAGCGGCAGCGAGAGGTGGCAGCGAGAGGTGGCGAGAGGGAGAGGAGCGCCTTTGAAGGAGCGACCGTGCTCTCCCTGCCGTCGTGCATCTGCCTGCTCCAGTTGCGGAGGGCGACGGTGGCGGGTCCCTCGCCGGCGGACGGCTCCTGCAGCAGGAAGACGCGGAGCGGCTCCGCCGCCATCAGGTTCTGAAGCACCGAGTTGAGGAAGCACGTGTTCCCTGCATGGGGTGGAGCGTCGCTCACGAGCGGCTCCACAAAGCCTCTCGGCCCTCTCTGGTGCGCCGTCCGGCCAGCCTCCCGCCCCTCGCGAGCCGCACTCGGGGATACCTAGCCGCCTCCCTCTCCTCACTCTCGCACGCACCCAGGTTCTTGAGCCCTCGCACGGGCGGCGCCGGGATCGATGACGGTGGCTCCTCGTCGTCCACCGCGAGGCCGTCGAGCTTGGTAACGAGGTCTGCCACGGCCACGGTCTCACCCGGCGTCTCATAGCCGGCTCGGCTCCGGAGGCCCCGCACCAGGCCCATCCCGATGAAAAGAATTTTACAAGTCGAAGAAAAGAAACCTCGGCGACTTTTTTTTGTTTTAACTACTCCGTCTGTGGCGTGACTTGCGCGCGCGCCGCGGCGCGGCGGGGCCAGCGATGTCGCGATGGTAGCTGCACGTGTCGCTGGTCTGACTTTTTTGTCGCTGGCAAATGTTCGCATCTACTGCCACTTGGTCTGTTGATCTGTCTGGGACCGGGACAAATTGCGATGTACACACATACGGTGTCGCTGCGCGCGACAGGGTCGCACCCCTACGGCTCTAACCGCGGCCGGACTAACTACCGCACCCCGGCACGGATTCACGTGGTTTTCGCAGCCAGGCGTTTCGCAGGCGTTTCACGAGGGCTTCACGAGTTTCACGACAGGGGTTTTGCTCGTTTCGCGGGCGTTTCGCGGGCGCTCAGGCGCTACATACTTTAAATATCTGACTTCGTTTAATAATAAACAAAGAAACTCAATCGTTTCCGCAAGGGGAGAAGCCGGGGGGCGGCGTGATAACGGTATCCCGCACCGCCAGGGCCCTATTCTACAGCCGCCGCCGCCGCGCACCTCGGCTCCGCCGCGCCCCAACGTCCCAACAAGACGTGCGTGGGTACGTGGCGGGGGGCGCTGTCGACTGCGTGCACTACTTCAGTCTCCAGCGCCGGCGGGCGCGTGGCGGGGGACAGGCCGGAGGCTTGGGCGCCGGGGGAAGGGAGTGTGGGCCACGGTCGCCCGCTCTCTCCGAGAGGAGCTCTCGCATGCTCTAAAAGGCTGGCCCCCACTCAAAACCAGCGGGCGGCGGCGTGTCGGCGGGCGGCGGCGTGTCGGCGGGCGGCGCCTCGGCCTCTGACTCTGCCTCCCGCGGCGCGGCGTCGGCCCGGGCGCCGCCACCCTGCACCTTACGCAACATCGTGATGGTCTCGATGCACTCCTGCACGACCGAGTCGGGGGTGGAGGCGCCCGAAGTGACGCCAATGCGGACGGGGCGGCCCGAGGGCAAAAAGTTGTCCGTGACGAGGATGGCGCCTGCACAACGACCGCCGGGGTGGGGACCAGCTCCTTTTACCCACCTCTACTAGTGAGGTGCGCTTTTTGTTTCTTAGTTTCTTTATTTCGCGCCGTGGACGTCGCGGTGCTCGATCGCGTTGTCCGGCCGGATGCAGGACGCCTAACCGGGGATGCATTCCTTTATTCATTCACTGTCAACAAATCGCGTG